GGACAGCCTGGAGAGAGCATAGCAGGGCAGGAAGGGCTTGGGATTGAAGGTGAGCCAGACCCAGGCCTTACCCTGCTTGTGCCCCATACGCCCCAGTCTCCCCGTTTGTAATGGGGGATGTTGTCCCCAAGAGCTGTTGGGACAGAATGGATGGAATGTCTGAAAAGCTCCTGCACGGCGCAGGGTCTGAGTGTGGGTCGGTCTCTGTTACAAGCAGCACGTGGGGAGTGCTCTTGTAGCCTGTCCTTGCTGCCTTCTCTCGCCGTGTCCTGGGGCATCCCCGTTCTCTCCCTCAGTGGCACCTGCTCAAGGGCTGCAGCTGTCTGGAATTCACACTGTGTAGCAGGAAGGAGCCAGCCAGGTAGAGAGCACCTGCCGGGTAGAGAGCACCTGCCAGGTAGAGAGCACCTGCCGGGTAGAGGGCACCTGCCGGATAGAGGGCACCCGCCGGGTAGAGGGCACCCGCCGGGTAGAGTGCACCCGCCGGGTAGAGGACACCTGCCGGGTAGAGTGCACCCGCCGGGTAGAGGGCACCTGCCGGGTAGAGGGCGCCTGCCAGGTAGAGTGCACCTGCCGGGTAGAGTGTGTCACTCCCCCTCTTCGTGGAGGAACGACACTAAACCCTGCCTAGGCTTCCCATCCGAGTCACGGCACCATTATGTCGCTCCCCCTCTTCGTGGAGGAACGACACAGGACCCTGCGCTGTTCTTTTGTCTGCTCGGCCCTCCCCGGGTTTGCTGCTGGTTCTTCCCGGGTTGGCTACTGTCCCTTCCACCTCCGTGGAAGGGCGGTTCCCCCTGCCACTTTCCCCACTTCCGCAGGGGAGCGGCACACCGCCAGCCTGCTCTCTCGGGGGCTGCTCAGGTGTTCCTTCAGAGAGTTGTTCCCTGGTGCATGTTGTCTCTCTCCTCCTTTATAGTCTTCTTCCGCCAATCCCAACTCTGCTACCCACACACCGAGTACGCTGCTCTCCTCCAATCAGGAGCAGGTCCTGCTGTTTATTGGTTGAACTGGAGGCAGCTGTGTAGAAGCTGTTTCCTCCTCTCCCAGCGCCATATTGTGGGAGAGCAGATGCACAGAATAAGTCTTAATTCCAGTAACTTAGTCTAGTCCGAGTTGCTCCCCACAGAGTGCACCTGCCAGGTAGAGGGCACCTGCCGGGTAGAGGGCACCTGCTGGGTAGATTGCACCTGCTGGATAGAGGGCACCCAGTCCGCTTGGGCTGCACCTGCCGGATAGAGTGCACCTGCCGGGTAGAGTGCACCTGCCAGATAGAGTGCACCTGCCGGGTAGAGTGCACCTGCCGGGTAGAGGGCACCCACCAGGTAGAGAGCACCTGCCGGGTAGATTGCACCTGCCGGGTAGATTGCACCTGCTGGATAGAGGGCACCTGCCGGGTAGAGTGCACCCAGTCCGCTTGGGCTGCACCTGCCAGATGGAGTGCACCTGCCGGGTAGAGTGCACCTGCTGGGTAGAGGGCACCCACCAGGTAGAGAGCACCCGCCGGGTAGATTGCCCCTGCTGGGTAGAGTGCACCTGCCGGGTAGAGGGGACCCGCCAGGTAGAGAGCACCTGCTGGGTAGAGAGCACCTGCCGGTTAGAGGGCACCTGCCAGGTAGAGGGCACCTGCTGGGTAGAGAGCACCTGCCAGGTAGAGCGCACCCAGTCCGCTTGGGCTGCACCTGCTGGATAGAGTGCACCCAGCCCGCTTGCTGCCCAAGACTGCAGAGGCTGCTGTGCTGCTGGTGTTACCGGGAGGCCTTGCTGTTGGGCAGTTGTTCTTGAGTGGACCAAGGTCGGTGATCAGGACCCAGCTTGAATCCGGGTCCTGAGGGCGCTGGCCTCGTTGGTGTCAGCGTCATCCTGGCCAGGTAAGGGATTGGAAGGTTGGATTTGGACCGTGCACCCACTTCATTGGCGCTAATTCAGCCAGCAGAAGAGAATTTTCTAGTATTGCCATTAAGCACCTGGAGAGGAACTTAAAACAGACACGCAGTACTAAGAATGGTTCCTATGTGGTAAATTTTGATCATTTGAGGAAGTATTTTGGAAGTTTTAAGAGTCCACATATGTGTAGATTAGAATATGTAGGAGACATTTTTGCATAAATTATAGACACAGAACCCAGAGTGCCAGTACTGGCTTAGGAAGTTGCGCGCGCATGTGCTCGCGCGCGCGCGTGTGTGTGTGTGTGTGTTACAGTAGCTGGAAAGCAGGACAGGTGTTACGGTGCAGTGGGGTTAGGCTGCCACTTGGGATGCCTGCCTTCCTTATCTGAGCCCCGGCTCGACGACAGCTTCCTGTGGGTGTGCACTGGGAGGAAACAGGTGATGGCTCACGCAGATGGGCCCCTAACACCATGTCGGAGACCCAGATTAAGATCCAGATTGGTTCTGGGCTTTGGTCTGACACACCAGCTGTATTTGGGGCATGAGCCAGTGGGTGGAAAATTTCTCTTTGTCATAGTCTTCCCTCTGTCTCTCTGCCTTTCAAAGAAATAAAAATTTTAAAAAGAGCAAAATGTGTAGATTGACTTCTAAGTTCTCTATGCTATTCCATTGGTCTGTGTGTCTGTTTTTATGCCAATACCATCTTGTTTACTGTAGCTTTTTAGTACATTTTTAAAAATTATTTTATTTATTTGAGAGGTAGAGTTACAGACAGAGGGAGAGACAGAGCAAAAGGTCTTCCATCCACTGGTTCACTCCGCAAATGGCTACAACAACCAAAGCTGGTCTGATCCAAAGCCAGGAGCCAGGAGCTTCTTCCAGGTCTCCCACACAGAAGCAGGGGCCCAAGCGCTTGGGTCATCTTTTGCTGCTTTCTCAGACCACAGCAGAGAGCTGGATCAGAAGAGGAACAGGTGGGACAGGAACCAACACCCATATAGGGTGCTGGTACGGCAGGCAGAGAGGGTTAGCATACTATGCCACAGTGCGGGCCCCTGTAATACATTTTAAAGTTAACTATTTAATTTTCCTTTTTAATCAGGGTTACTTTGGCTATTTAGGGTCTTTTGTGGCTCCATACAAATTTTAAAAGTGTTTTTTTTTTTTTTCTGTTTCTGTGATGAATGTCATTGGCATTTTGGTAAGCATTACATTGAATCTGTAGGTTGCTTTGATATTAGACATTTTAACAACATTCTTTCAATCCATGAACATGGAATTTCCTTCGTGTGTGTGTGTATGTGTGTGTGTGTGTGGTTGTCAGTTTGTTTCACCAGTATTGTGTGACTTTCATTGATGAGCTCATTTCAATTTCTTGGCTGGGTTTATTCCTGGCCCTCAGTGGGGGTGGGGGCTGAATGGGAGTGGGGTGAGTGTTGTGTGACTGTCGTGAATGAGGTTGCTTTCTTGATATCTTCTATTTTTAATGATTTATTTGTTTCTTTGAAGGGCAGAATGACAGAGAGGGAGGGAGGAAGGGAGAAGGGTGGGGTGGGGTGAGAGAGAGAAATCTTTCATCTGCTGGTTCACTCCCCAGATGGCTGCAACAAATAGGGCTGGGCCGCGTTGAAGCCAGGAGCCTGGAGCTTCTTCCGGGTCTCTCATGTGGGTGCAACAGCCAAAGCCATGGGTCATTTCTGTTTTCCCAGGCACATTAGCAGGAAGCTGGATCAGCAGTCGAGCAGCTGGATCTCAAAGTGGTGCCCATGTGGGATTCCAGCTTTGCAGGCAGCAGCTTTATCTGCTGTGCCTCAGTGCCAGCCCCTGTTTATCTATTCTAATAGGTTTTTGGTCATGTCTCTAGATTTTTCTAGATATAAAATCATGTCACCTACAAGCAGGGACATTGGACTTCCTCCTGTCCTACCTGGATGTACATCATTGCTTTACTTGTTTTATTGCCCTGGCCAAGCTTTCTAATGCTGTGTTGAACAACAGGCAGGCTTTCTGCCAAGTGGTTAAGGTACAGGTTGGCTCATCCCACGTCCCACATCAGAGCCCCTGGGTTTAAGTCTCAACTCCATTCTCAGTTACAGCTTCCTCCTGGTCACACCCTGGGAAGCAGTGTGTTGCGGCTCCATTTAGTTGGGTCCCTGCTGCTCATATAGAAGAAGTGGATTGAATTCCCAGCTTTGGCCTGGCTCACTGATTGCATGTACTGACCCATCCTATGGCTGTGGCATGCGTCCTACTTGGTCACGATGTGTCATCTTTGGCTTGGCCAGTGTTTTTTGAGTATTCTTTGATTTATTTACGGGGATATTGTTCTGCAATTTTTTGTTGTGTCTTTGGTGTTGGTATTAGGGTGATGCTGAATTTGTAGATTGGATTTGGAAGAGTTCCTTCTTTTATAGGTCTTTGGAATAGCTGGAGGAGAATTGGTGTTAGCTCTCACTTACGAGTTTTATAAAATTTAGCAATGTGCCTGGGCTTTTTTTTTTTTTTTTTGATAGCGTTACAGACTGTGAGTGGGAAGAGACAGAAAGTTCTTCCATCCCCTGGTTCACTCCCCAGATGTCTGCAGCCAGGAGCTTTTTCTGGGTCTTCCACGGGGGTGCAGGGGCCCAAGGACTTGGGCGGGCTTTTACTGCCTTCCTAGGCCATAGTAGAGAGTTGAATTGGAAGTGGAACAGCTGGGACTAGAACTGGCACCCATATGGGATGCCGGCACTGCAGGGGGAGGATTAGCCCACTGCGCCACAGCTCCGGCCCCAGGCTTTTCTTTATTGGGAGGATTTTTATTACTGATTTGATCTGATTACTTGTCATTTTCTCTGTCCTCCTGGTTCAGCTTAGTTTATTTGTGTTCAGAGATATATTAATTTCTTCTAGATTATCCAATTTGTTGGTATTCGGTTGTCTGTAACAGTCCCTCGTGATCTCTTGATTTTGTGTGATACCAGTTGTAATGGATCCTTTTTCATCTCTGATTTTATTTGGGCCTCCCCCTCTTTTTTCTTTTTTAAAAATGTATTTATTTGACATGGAATGATAGAGAAAGAGACTGATTGATTGACTGATCCATCTTCCATCCTGTGGTTCACTCCCCAGATGACTACAGTGGCTGGAGCTGGTGCAGGCCAACATCAGAAACTCTATCCAGGTCTCCCACGTGGGTGTTAAGGGCCCACGTACTTGAAGCATCATCGGCTGACTCCCAGCCACATCAGCAGGAAGCTGGGTGGGAAGCAGAGCAGGTGGGACTCTAACCAGCACTGTAACATGGAATGCTGGCGTCTCCAGCCAAGGCTAGCCTGCGTTGCCACAACACTGACTGCTTAGCTGTGTTTTGCATACCAGGTAGGATCTAAATGAGCAAAAGGTGCAGAATCCATGCCCTCCACCCCGCCCCATGGTAGATAATAATGAACAGTACATCAGGGGCATGGGCATGGGAGAAGAGCAGCTTCCTGTATATAGGGGGTCAGCCATGGTGGAGGAGGGAATACTGATACACAGAGCCACACTGCGGGGGTCCTGGGGGGCAGTCCTGTCCATGGGCTCCTGGAGGGTGGACAGTAAGCAGATGTTGGAGCTGTCAGCGCCCCGCTCTGGTGGAGTTGGGGAGCAGGAGGTGCTTTGGGGAGGTGGGGAAGGGGCTGTCCCGTCACAGGGTCTCCTGGTCTTTGAGCGGTATGGGTAGGACCTGCACAAGTAGCTCTGGGAACTGTGCTTGGGCCAGGCTGGGCCAGCAGCTGCCTTGTGCCGGAGCAAGCAAGGCCGTGGAGAAGCCTGTGGACCGTGCAGCGCCCTGGGGCTGAGGAAACCCTGCTGGCCGCCGCCACCGAGGTGCCCCGGGCGCTCCCAGCGGGGTTCAGTGGCATCGCCTGTGGCACCGCCGCTGTGGCCCAGGGTGAAGGTTTGGGCTGGGGCGCACGTGTCAGAGGCTTCAGGAGCTGGCAGCTCCAAGAATGAGAGGAACAAGGAATGAAACGTCGCATCTCCATCCTCCTCTGCTCCCCTCTGCTCCCTGCATCCCCGGACTGCACCCCTGCCAGCCCCCGCGGTCGCCTCGTGGTCTTCTGCCTGCGGGAAGCCTTCCCTGCCCCTGCCCGGAGCTGATGCACTTACATTTTCCCCTCAGCACACCAAGTCGGGTTTCACTTCCTCCCAACAGCTGATGGGCAGATTTTCGCTTCTACCCCAGTTGGCTCCTTCCTCCCTTGGCTGTGTCTTCGAGCCTACAAAGCAGACCCACGTGTGGGGACTCCCCGCTGGTCCTCCTCTCTGGGTGGCCCTGCTCCAGGGGACAGGAGCCCTGAGGCCATGGCCTGCAGGTGGCTGTGGCACCCCTGTGCTGCCTGTAGTGCAGCTTGATCCTGGCTTTTCCTGGACAGGAGCAGCAGGGGTGGGGTGGGGGGGGACCACTGGGCAGAATGATGGCTGACCCGGGAGCCTGCGAGCAGCTCTCCTGCAGTGAGTGAAGGAAGTGGGTAGTGGGAGAAGGGTCTCCTGGGGACCGGTGTCTGGGATACCGAGGTGGGGAGTCGATGCTGCTTCCTGTTTGGTCCACAGAGTGGGAAGGTTTCCTTGCCTCCTTGCAGGCAGCATGCAGGTGGTTGGTTCAGTCGAAGCTGTGGGGTCCTGGGGCCCAGTAGCAGCAAGGTCAGGGAGGGTGAGGGGCTGCGGGGGATAGAGGGTGGGGGAACTCGGACCCTGCAGATGCCGGGGTGGGGGGGGGGCTTGGACCCTGCAGATGCTTTGACTGTGGCAGGAGGGAGAGCAGTCAGTGGCAGGAAGGGAGGCGGGGTCAGGTGCCGGCTTTTCCTGAATCCCTCCGTGACCTTGACTGTCAAGGTCACGGAGGGCAGTGGAGCCCGAGGGACTTTGGGGAGAGGGAGTATAGGTGGGAAGGAAGCCCCTGGAAGCAGGCTGAGGTGTTTGGAGGGGCTTTGCTGGTGGCGAGCTTGGACTTGTGCCTGTAAATCCAACGTATGACCGAGGCATGTAACCCACGTATACGTCATGTACGAGATCATTGATAGCACTTTTGCAGTGGCTTGTTGAAGTCTGGTGTTTGCACACTCGCAGGCCTTCTCCTTTTGGACTGGCCGTGTTTCCAGTGCTGTTTGGCATCAGGGGGTGGGCGCTGCGGTGCTGGGTGGGGCGCATCGAGAGAACAGGATGGGCCTGGCTTCCAGCAGCCCTGGGGAGGCCGGAGCTCATCTCCACTCTAAGACTTCGTGGCTCCTGCTGGAATCCAAGCGACTTTTGTGTGTCTGCACCATCCGCTCCCAATCATTTTCTCAGTGGGGGTCTGTTTGCTTGCACTCACCCTGTCTGCAGGTGGATGTGTGGAATTAGGAAGTAGGCTTGGAGGGGGCTCCAGTGCCACTGCAGGGGCTCACTTCCCACACTTCCCACCCCTGTCAGTTACAAGCCGTGAGACATGGGTTAGCGACCTCTCTGTGCCTCAGTTCCCTTACCTCCACAGCAGGAATGGGGCCAGTGTTGTGCAGGGCGTTAAAGCGCTTCTGGCATCGCTGGCATCTTGTGGTGGAGCACTGGGTGAGTCCCAGCTGCTGTGCCTCCTGTGGGCCTGGGAAAGCAATCAACATGGTCCAAGGACTCGGGCCCCCGCCACCCATTTCGGAGAGCCTGATGGAGTTCCTGGCTCCTGGCTTTGTTGTGGCCATTTGGAAGGTGAACTGGCAAGTGGAAGATCTCTCTCTGCTGCTCTGCCTTTCAAAGAAGTAAATAAATCTGAAAGAAAAAGAAAAAGCAGGAATAGGAGTCGGCACTGGGGAACAGTGAGTTGGGTCGTCACTTGGGCTGCCTGCATCTCAGTTTGGAGTGCCTGGTTACAGTCCTGGTGACTCTGCCTTCTGTCCAGAGACTTGCTGATGTGCCTGGGAAGCAGCGGGTGAGCGCTCAGGTCCTTGAGTTCTGCCACCCATGTGGGAGCATCTGATTGAGCTACTGGCTTGTGGCTTTGGCCTCACCCAGCCCCGACTCTTGCTGCCATGTGAAGAGTGAACTGGAAGATGGGAGGTGTTTCTATATCTTTCTCTCTGTCATTCTTTCAAATAAATAAATATATACAGTATAAATAAATATTTTTAAAAATAGGAATAGTGGTGGTACATTTTCATTAAGTGAAATTCTGTCTTATAGGATTGTTACAAAAATGAAATGTAGAGCTTAGAATAGTACCTAACCCAAAAGTAAATTAACAAGTAAATTAAATTTTAAAAGAAAGTATTCAGACTACTTTATTTGAATCAATGTTAATCATCATTGTAGATTAAAAAAAAAAAAAACTTGGGGAGGGCACTAGTACTTTATGAAACGTTAAAGTCAGTTTAAACTAAAAATGTCTGCTTCAGTCTTGTGATTTCTTTGGAAAACTATGAGAACACCTGGAAAGTTTGGCATTTATTAAGAATAATATGTGGGGCACTGCTCAGAATGTTACTGTTAGAAGCTGCCGTTCGGTGGGAGCTGAGCTCTCTGTAACGTAATAGAAGAGCGGACTTGGAGCGAGATGCCCGTGTTTCTGAGAAGTGTGCTGCTGACATAGGACAGCCTTGTTTGCCTGCATCGCCCTTTGGAAAAACTTTTTCATTAAAAACCTCTGAATGAAGAGGCTGTTAGAATGGAGCTGGGGCGGGGGCGTGGCAGGGGAACCATGTAAAAGCTGCTGCCCACGTGCCCTGTTCCTTTCAAATAAGCCTTTATAATAACTGGATCCTGGTACCCATCCGCAGGTGTGGGTGCAGGGACATGCCCGCCTGCAGCGTCCAGCTCAGCCCTCCACACGGGGCCCCAGGTTGGTTTTTGCCTGGCAAAGCTGAGAGTGGACCTGATGCAAGTGTTTAGTCTGCAAAGCCTCATTGTACTTATCATACCAGAAAAGAACAATGTTGTGTTGTGTTGTGGTCATAATAGAAGCCAACTCCGCTTGTTCACGGAAGCTGAGCTCCTAGAGATAAGGGAAGCAGAATAATAGAGTGCATTGGAAAGAGTGGAGTGTAATTATTTGTGGCCTGTCAGGTGCACCCTCTGCAGCCCCGAGTGATCCAGATCTGGGAACTCTGCACGGCTCGGCACACTCACTACCGGCAGCATCAGGGAGATCTCCCCACGCCGTGGACAGCGCCGAAATTGCATCAGTTTGTCATGTACCAGGCATGCCGGCCTCACACAATATGATTTGGTTGCAAATGGGCCTGGCCCCGAAGCCCCGGAACACGTTCTGTGGTATCTGACTCTTGGCCTGCGATTTGTCACGTCCCGGCTGCTATCAGCAAACTACAGTAACTTTAATAGATTCTGACGGTTCCCTCAGAGGAGCGCGAGGCACGGGTGGGACTCTCCTGGCCAACGATGGCTGCGCCTTTTAAAAAGGAAAAAAAATACAATGCATTGTACAGTTTAATTTTTATGAACCATGTTGTTTGTTTTCCATCTTTAAAGGAGTAGCCTCTTTGGAGATGTGTTAGTGGCAGCAGAGTGGGCTCTGAGAAGCCACCGCTGTGGGCGTGGAACCACGTAACGGAGTGCTTGCTGTGAGTCCATTGCGACTCGGCATCTGGCCCCTGCAGTAGCGGCTGTGCTGGACGTGTGTCAGAAATGCGGACTCTCTGGGGTCGCTCTCTGCACCTGCAGACTCTCGGGTGTGGCTCTGCCCCTGCAGACTGGGGCCCTGCGTTTGCCCAGATCCCCGGGCGGGGGTGGGGTGAGGGCACCCACATACAGGCTGGCGTTGGAGAAAGCATGGATCGTGGCCATTTGGTCAGTTGTGCCAGGCTTCAGATTCCTCTTAGGCAGAGTGGGGATTGTGATAACTGCGTCATTTGGCTTTTCTGAGAATGCCATAGAATTAAGTCTTTGTTGATAGAGTTACGGATTTTTAAATATCTCTGTAGCTCTGTCTGTATCAAGTGCCTGACATGGACCAAGTGGAGGTCGGTGGAGGATCTGTATACCGGTAGCCCCACAGACTTTGTCTAGGGACGTGGGTGTGATAGTGAAATAATTCTCCTTCAGGTGGTTTCCTTGACACAGGGATCGTGAGTTTCTGTAGAGCAGTGCTGGCTGACCGCGGCTGACTGCGGAGTTGAGATGCCACTCACTGGCCCTTCCGTGCTGTGCTGGGGAAAGGCACATCTGAAACAGAAGAGGTCGACAGGTCCCACGGCGCCCGTGTTGGGGGTCCGCTGTTGAGGGATGTTGCTTCCTCCTGCCCCTCTCCCAG